ATAAATAATTGGATATTTATTTGAGTCACTAAGGGCTAAGTCATGTTGCAATAAAATAACCATCCTCAAATTACAATAAAAATTTATTTCTGTAAGAATTGGCTGAGGGTTCTACTCCATATTATCTTCATTCCAAGACCCAGGCTGATGGAGCGGCCACCATCTGAAATGTTGACAGTCTCCATGGAAGAAGAAAAGAGAAAGTAGTGCCCTCATGACTGGATAGTCTAGAAAATTTTAACTGGAAGTGACACATGACTTGCTCATATTTCGTTGGCCACAGAAAACCATATGACCAAGGCACTAACTTCCAAGTGGCTAAGGAAGTGCAGGAAAATTTGTAAGAAAAGAAACAACCTGTCATGTACTTGACACATGCTCATTCTAAAGTCCCAAAACACATCAATAGCTAACCAAGCTAACAGCATATGCCAATGAAACAATTTGGCATGATGAAGATAGTTGCAAAATGAAACAACAACTCCTCCCTCCTTTCATGAAAGTTGTTTTGGTTGTTTGCACTTTGGTTTGTCCTGTGCATGCAGAACATCTGAAAAAGGAAAGATTCATTTAGGCAATGGAGTAAGAATGGAGTATATTTAAATTCATATCTTAGTGACTTTATCCAACTCCACTTCTCTTGTAAAAGGAGAAATACTTTGTTCGCAATTAAGGAGTAACAAAGTTATCTCAAACTTATTTTTTTCTTTCTTCTCCCTCACACATCAGGATTTGGTAGCAGTTGGAGAGTCTTGACAGTAGAATTGCACTGAAAGCATTTGGAGGGTACTAAAAAGAAAGGCCCTCTTTATGCTTTGGTCTCGTATACTTGCAGAGACCCTGGGGAGGATACTAAAAGTGTTCAGAATGGACCCAGCCCTAGGATTGGCCAGTGAAAACTGGAAGGTCCTCAGCCACCTCCCGCTTCCCCCACCTTCCCTGCTACCTCCCGCTGATAAAGAAGCAGCAACTACAATACCAGTTAGGGAATCATAAACAGATGTGGAATAATGCAGATATGATTTCACATTATGGTGGCATTTGCCAACATAAAAATTATTACAACTTTTGCTATAAATTGTTCTGTAAATTTTACAAAATATGCAAAAACTGACATTTCAAGAGCTGAGATAATTTAGATTTGTTAAAAAGTTGAGGCCCTTGAGATTCAGCAAAAGAAAGTATATTTCTTTATCTAGCTTTTAGTTGCATGGGTCTTTGTTTTTGTTTTTCAGCTCCTTGTTTATAATTCATAGGTCAAAACTGGCCACATCTGAGCTTTGACCACTTCATTCTGTTTTACCCATAAATTTCTCCTGTGTCTCAGACAGCAGATATAACTTCTCTGTATCCCAAATTTCTTATCAGAGCATGCAGTAATCATGGCCTTCTCAGAAAGTTGACAGAAAAGCATTTGATATCTAGAAAATTCTCTAAAATGCTTCTTTGACATAAGACTGGTTCCCACTGTCTTTATAGAACACCAGTCCTAAGGATACTTTCCTTACCACTCCATTCTCTCTTTACAAACCCCACCCCAACACACAGACACACACACACACACACACACACACACACACACACACACACACCCCTTCTTAAGTCAGTGTTACAGTTGTCGCACATCACCAAGGCCATGCTCCCTTGGCTCTCTCCCAACAGAACCTTCCTGAAAATCGTGCTTCTCACCTGAGACACTCAGAAAGCTTTTCTAAAGCTGCTGCTCTCATCTGTCACATGCAGAGAGTAACGTCTTTGTACATGAGAGAAGCCATCGTCAGAGCCGGGATAACCAGATTGTATCCGCTAGCCCTTGAGGACACGCAGCCATGGTGTGTGTGTACTGTACTAGGAAAGTTTGCTATATATCACTTTGATAGGGACAGCATGGCACATTATTTCTGCCCCTTCCTCAGAACTAGAAAGTCATATGGCATTAAAAGAGAAATCTTCATCAGAAGTCAAACTTTTTTCTAAGTTGCCTCCTCTCTTTCTCCCCAACTGCCCATACCCCCATGCTCTCGAAATAAAGCTTGAGGACTAGTTTAGATTTTAAATTCGTTTCAATGGGGCAAAACCTGACCTTAGCGTTCCTCTCACACCAGTTGTTCTGGGTTTAATTAACGCTGCCCCCGCCCCATGTTTAAACAATTACTGTTGTAACATATGGCGGGGGGGTTGCGGTGCTACATTCACTGCCTCAGTCAGGGCACGACACAGTGTTCCACCTCCACAGCTCATGAAAAGCTTACAGCC